TCGACACAATATCGCCGTCCTCTGCATTCTACAAGCAGTGATGGACACTGTCGAATGGATATCTGTAATTTTTATTCGAATGAAACAAAGCAGATATCATGATTAGCTACTTTGATGTGAAATTTATGTTTGAATTTATTTACTTTCTATAACGTGATACACTTACGAATTCTACACGACTTTTAAAATTTATACGACATAATTTTGTAGTAGACAAAGGAAGTTCGTAGTTTTTATTTCTTACATAGGCCTATAGTTACCATTATTTATTTTCGCGTGTTAGTTATTAGCATGTTATCAGTTCCAAGTTTTATGAAGTGTGTTATATTAACATTTGAAGTCAAGCTTAATGTCTATGGACCATGTGGTCATGACTGTGTGGATTGACCATTGTTTGATAATTCTTCAAAGCTTCTTATATCCGGTCCAGTGATTGTTAGGCTCGTATGTCTTATCATTTATAAGTAGAACACGTGTACAGACTGAGTTAATAATATTTAGTGGCAAATCATTAATAGGCCTATAAAAGAGAAAAGCATACCAAGTACGCTATAAAGCTTGAATAAACTTGATGTTGGGTTTTATCCCAGTTAGAATAAAGATTATCATGTACAATTTTCCATCTGTTCTATAACAAGTTAGTTTAGACATGATTTAACATTGTCATTGACCCTCACAAGGTCTCAGAAAATTCTTGATGCGTCACTGTTGCATGCACGTAATATTTTATAAGTAACTTTGTATTTGTATTCGCACTGGTTCAGAGGGAAATAACTACAGTCGTCCTAGGCACTCAAACCACTGCTGGGTTCATTGTGCGCCCTTGATCCTGTTAGGGTCCATCTAAAAGAGCTTATCGCTCCCCGTGTATCAACAGAGCGAACACTGCAGCACAGAATGTTGTTTGGTCAAGAACCGTTTTGTTGCTCCATTACATAATCAAGACATAACGACCCGAACAAACTCCAAGTGAAGTGACGCAGGCAATAGTTAAATGTTACGAGATGCAATGTCAGTTTACTTTTACAGTGGCTTCAGAACGAGTCAGTTTATAAAATTTGTCATCAGAAACTAG